TAAAATGGAACGAATTTGTAGGAAAGACACACATGTAAATAGAACATTCTGTACAAATTCAGGGTTAGATACAGTAGAGTCAAACTATAATTTCATCCTTCCTGTACCCGTCAGAGATACTAAAAGCCTAAATTTTACTCGGCGGAGTAAAATTCAAAGTAATCGAAAAAAATGTAAAAATCTCGATGGGGAGTTGTACTTTGCTTATAATGAACTTGATGTTACTAATAATAATGTAATAATGTGTATATTCTGTACCGTTCCTCTATTCAAATTAAAACGTAGCATGCAGGTTACGGGAAACCTCGGGGACTGAAAGTCCAACAGCAGTGTCTACCACCTGTAATATTGTAGATAGTACAAATGACACACGAGAATATAAATTCATCTTTAGCGAACAAAAAAAAAAAAAAAAAAAAAGATATTGATTTCATCAATCGTAAAATCTGATATTTCTACTACCAGTTCCCTAGGTACAGGGTACAGTGCAGAAAATGCATTTTCGGGATGGCTTCAGTTGCAAAATCAAAAGAGTAACTCAATATATTTGAGTGCATTCAGTATCAATCTCCCCTCCTCCATCCCAAGTTATCTGACAGTATTGATATCGACAACATGTTCAAATATTAATGAATCAGTGATATTTCAATGTATAAAATTTCTTTTTGAGATCCGGTGATCTTCGTGGGAGTTGATTGACAGCTGAGGTTACAAATAGTTCAAGGATCGTTACTGACGAAAAGGTGACATTTTTTAAAACTCCGTCAGTTGTAAAACATTTTACATGTTGTACTATTGTAGGACACATATATATAGATTTTAGGTGAAAATCACCGGAGTTATCTCCCTTACTACATCGTAGAGACTTGCATGTAGTTACCTCATGATCATCAGAACAGACATCAAACAATTTTTTTTTGCGCATGGATACACCATGGAAGTGCCAGGATCCCTAGAGTCTGAGTTGAAAAACTATTAATTATTTTGTGACAAGTTGAACACTTGCTACTTTTCTGTGTAGTAATCATAGCATTCCGCCTATGGATATTTTAAACTCAAAAAAGTAAATATAAACCTCACTGTATCTTCTTGCCTTTTAAAACACAAAACAAAAATCGTTGTTTCAAACTTTTATTTTCATACAAACACAGAACAAATACATTAAAACATTGTTATCAGTGAAGTGGAAAGGAGTATCGGACATCAACATTTGTATAATGCCTATAAATACTGTTTAAGATGAGGTGTGGTGAGAGGTAACTTACCTCGTCACCACCTGGTAAGGGGATGTTAAACTGCTTTTACTGACAGGTAAATGTCTGATTAGGTGGCCTTGTTTCTCTTGAATTTCCACTTAAGGGTCACTTAATACCATTGAAGTGTTACACCGGTTTTCAAATATGATATCCACTAAAATGCTTCTTAGAAGACATTGTAGAATTTGTCTCAGATTCAGTTTCATCCAGAGCAAGGTTATCAAAAGCTTCTTACTTCACCGTTAAACAAGCACTTAATTTGATAAAATGTGTAATACCTTTAACAATGAGTAAAATGAAATGTTTCAGTCATAAATTGATATGAAACACAATTTCTTCTAAAGGGAGAAACTCCCTCCACCGTGTACTTTTTTTATAAGACTGAACTAAAAGGAAGTTCAGTATTTAAACTATCTCTAAAGGAAGTTTCAATCTGTTTTCATAATATTCAGTTCAAATTAAAATGAGTCTTTAATGAAAAAAAAAAAAATGTTTACTCTGCACATAATTTTATCCTTTATGAAAAAATAACCCTCTGTTCGGTAGCAAGATGGGAGTCAGTTATATATATGTTTTGGTCTTCATAACGAGTGTCCATCTCAGTAAGTTGGGAGTTCTCAACAAGGAGAACAAACCAAAACTTTCGGTCATAGACAGACTTAACATGTTTAACAACGGTGTTCAAAAGTAAATATCAACTAAACAAAATATTTAAAAATATTCAGCAGAAGAAAAATGGTATTGATACAACAAGTCGTGTCATTAACTACTTTCACACTGGTAAATTTTTTTTTTTTTTTTTTAAATAAATTGAGATTGACCACAGGTTCACTCCATGAGTACGGGTAGCAGTGTGACCTCAACATTCATCACAACTAGCAAACATGTCTGGTAAACTAATTCTTAAAAGCTGTTTATAAATTAGATACCAACCAACAAATCTTTGGCAAAAACTAGGATGGGTTAATAGTGACAAACTTTAATGAGAAATGGAAAATTTTCAAATTAAAAACGAAGAAAAAGATTAACCTTAATGTATCAAATTCTTTGGCTTATGAATATCAGGTTATAGTATTTCTAAACTGGGCGTACCAACAAAACAAGCCTTGTCATTCTGATGCTAGAAATAACTGACACTGGTAGAAAACCACAAACTACATGTAGCCCTATGACAGAATCATACAAGTAAAACTAAAAACCACCCTGACACAGCAACAACCTTATTGGTACTTCTACCACAGAGATCATGTCTGTCGCTGACTGGCTTGTTGTACATAAACAAAGGTCATCAACTGAACCATTCTCATAAAAATGCAGGTTCTTGGCACAAGATATTTAAATAAATAAATAAGGTGCTCATTGAATTAAAAAGATCTATTTAGACACCCTTCAATTAGCATCAGTGAATTAAAATTTATTCTGTGAGCACTTTGGAATTTGCTGTATAGGAAAGTAAAATTTTTTTATGATAATTAAATTCAGGTTAAGTTAAATATATATTTAACTACAATTACTAGGCAACATATAAATCAGCTGAATACAACTTAACAAGTTCTGCTGTTATGTTTCAGCGTTGTTTCTACCCATCAGGTGTGAGTATTGTTAACTAGCGTTTACATATCTCCACTCAGATAGTTGACTAGCACACAAGGAAAATGAAAACTAACAGCAAAAAGAGAGGAGCATATGATTTTTGATTGACAAATAATCTGTAACAACAAAATTATGCCATTTTAAATATAATTCTATCCCAATCAAAGAGACGAACTCTCATAACAAATGTGTGGATGCAAAAAAACCCAATACAAATATCTTCTAATAAATAACATCCAATCAACACTGCTTTGCAGATTTTGAATATTTAGTAAACACATCTGCAAATAAAAACAAATCTTACGGTTCATATAAATATTCAATAACCATTTTAACAAACTCTTGTTCTCAATAAATATTAGCAATCAACTGAAAAAGGAAAAAAAATAGCATGGTTACTTTGATATATTTACATCACACCTCAAACACAAAACCAGTAGAAAACACGGTATACAAAAATAAACAGGATATCACAGTTGGACTTTGATGCGTGTTGTGTATATACACAGGTTTTTATTTGTGTACATATATATATGTGTGTGAGCGTGTGTATGTATGTATAAACAGGTACCATATTTATACCTGTATTCCATAAATTTTACAGAATTAATCAGCCTATAAATGATCCAAGTTTATAATGAGCAATAAGCAATAATAGCCATGTAAAATAGTTTTGTTATCAGATAGATTTTCTTCCCTTTAAGTCACATCTCGTATTTTGTGGACAGAAAAACTGTTTTCAATGTGAACAGTCTATGTTATATAAAATATATCTAATCTGTGATCCTCAATCAGAAATTATACCCCAATCTTATGCATTTATCCCAAAATGTAATCTACCTAACAAATTTTGAAGGTTATACATAAAAGTTTATAAAATATACTCGTCCTTTAGCACATGAATCGTTATTGTTAATCACTCTATAAATACTTGAAGATTCAGGTACATATATATGATATACTCAAGTATCATATTGATGAATACTACTGCTAAGTGAATACATTTCTTATGTTAATGAATTGATATTCAGAGTATGTTGGATTCAATACTTTTGAATGTAGTCTATTCATTCTCTGTAATATTGTATGATTAAAGTGTTGTATTTATACATGATCCTATTATAATGGCTGTTACCTAAAGCAGGAAAAGATATAGTCTATTTGGGAACCTGACAAATATCTCATGTATCTGAATCACTCTTTAATAATCAACAAATCTCTCCCTATTTTCAACAGCGTATGAAGATGTTCTTATAATTGTTAAGAGCTATATTTACATTTTATATACAAAGTTGGAATATTACAGAAATAAGATTCAAAAGAACACGCACAAATAGCACTTGCATTTTTCATCAGCTAGTCCATTACAACTGTCCATCCTCATTGTATATTAAATACACTCACTAGAGACTACCTTCTGTACATAGGTAAAAGAGCCATGTACCTTTGGATGATATGATGCACAACATTTGCATAAACTTCAAAATATAACAATAGTCTAGAAATGGTCACAATGGCCCATCTCTATCTTCAATATGTCCAATGCCGTGCGATTTTAATTCGCTGGTGTATTTGTCTGTGTAAATACTTAACGCAGTCAAAGAGTCTTAATATATATATTTTCTCCTAAATTTTGTCAAGCACAAAAAAATGACAGAAGTTTGGCACAGACTCAAACACCCTATATCATCTGCGATGTTACAGGGTCAGTAACATTTCCTATTCTCCAACCACCAAATGTCTAAACATCTCTATATTAACTGCACACCAGCAGCAAATCCACAATAAAATCTATTTAAATCAAGGTGCAGCTTAAAGAGTACATTTCCTTAGAAAATTGTGATGTTTTAAGAGTGGGAGTTATTCCCCTTCAACCAACAATGTCTTCACAATTTCTGACTCGCTCTAGAGACTTTCCACCAACACGGAATCTGAATAGGTTTTGGAACGCATAAAGTTTAACAAAGGTCAACATCACATTAATTTCCAATATTGTCACAGAGATCCTCTTTAGCTACCAAAAGTACCCCTTATCTTCCTGGTAATATTCAGGTATGTCCCGGTATCAGCTGTGTCCCCATTTGGGGAGAGGTAGCATCCAGGCCTTCTTACACCACTAGCACTAACAGAATTCCAATGTGCTGAAAGGACCTATAGGGTTATAACGTCATATGCTTTGAGACTGGAGAGAAGTATGTATATGAACCAGAACACTAACAACAGTATACTAGATCCCCATTTGATGTATGGGTTGGCTCCTCCTAGTTCTCCACCAACAAACTGAAATGCAAGAGTATAAACATTATATCACTGAACAATATATGAAAATCATAAAATACCAAACCATTGTTTAAGTGTATCACCATAGTAACAGTTTTAAATATGTAAACTTCCATTATATCACTGAACAATATATGAAAATCATAAAATACCAAACCATTGTTTAAGTGTATCACCATAGTAACAGTTTTAAATATGTAAACTTCCATTATATCACTGAACAATATATAAAAATCATAAAATACCAAACCATTGTTTAAGTGTATCACCATAGTAACAGTTTTAAATATGTAAGAATCTATTCCTGACAAAATGATTCCTTATTTCATATTTTATTTTCAATCGCGCTCAGGGTAAAATCAGTTATATTTTCCTACAAACCTTTCTCCTCAGGATCAGGACAACGATACACAGGAAACCAAGGATGGTGAAGATTATGACACTCTGTGTGAGGTTACCAGATGGCACCCTGTATTCTGTACCAGTGGCCAGTCCGTAAGAGGTACTGAGAACCCAGGGTAAACCCAATCCCAAGAAGACATTCACACTGTTACTACCTGTAATTAACATACAGACATATGCAATGCTCATCTACATACTAGAACTGTGTATGTTAAACAGCAAGGTATGGACCCTACATCTTCACACATCTAATGACTTTCGTAAACTCATCGCCAACTAAGACAAAAAAAGTTCAGAAAACACAGGTGAAAACATATTGCATGGTTTCGGTAATGTTTCGTAAGAGAAGAATATCTGCCGAGTTACGCTTGAAGTACATGAGAGGGAGAAGTTAAAATTAGTGAAAGCACAATGCTAGCAATCCTTCGAAAAAAATAAGCTGAAATGGGAATTAAACTCTATTTTAATCAAAGCTTGGGGACCAGGAAGAGTAAGGAACTAAAACTCCGGCTGGGGAAAGAGCAATTATATGATGAGTTTTAACGGTTTTAATGAGACACATGAGCACGGTGTTCATGAGAACAGGATCAAGCTTTCAAGGAAATTTGAAATTAAGACTCTACATTGTCTTTAAATACAAATGTCTTACCAGTCACATTGCCTATGGCTGCGTCTGCATGTTCATCTTGTTTTGCTGCTGTGCGACTAGCAAATGTGTCGGGTAAACTGGTTCCAAGGGCAATTATAGTGATGCCAGTTACACTTGTCTTCAACCCAATCACACAGCCAATCAGATGTCCAAGCTGTTAAACACAGATAAAACAGTAACTATCACTGCTTGCTTCAGACATTGTTAACAACCCTATCATTACCAATGGTTGTATGTGATGTAAAATGCATTATTGTCCGCTGTCGGGACATTGTGTACATCCTGTATATCATTTAATGAGACCAAAACTTACCTGCTCTACCAGAAATGTGAGAGCTCCTATGTACATCAGTGACAGGACGAATGTAGGCCAAGCTCCAAGGTATTTCCTGAGAAAAAAGCATACTCTGTCAGTTAATTCTTATCTGGATCTTCCAAGGACACATTATCAGCAATTATACTCAACACACTGATGAAGGTAATAGTGATGGGCTCATAAAGAACATTTCATTCGATCAGTAAAAAAATGTCAAGACCTATCCTGATGAAGGATTCATAAAGCTCAGTAGAATGGAGGGATTCTTATGAATGGAATTGTTAGATGGAATTAAGACAAGCACTAATCATTTTTCACATAAAAACTTCTTATGTACATTTCGATGAATAGCCAGGAGAACTAAGCAGCTAAAACGCTAATACTTACGTGGGAGGGACACATGCGCCAATCACCTTCCACAGAATGGTGAGGAAGTGTAGCAGGTAGTCTACCCTGGATGGTTCCACTTCATTTCCATCGTCATCAGTGGATCCTTCAATGGTGAGGGCACTACAATACCAGACATCCTGTTATTTCTACGTCCAGTCAATGTGAGAATTAAATCACAACACAATTCTTCATATGTTAGATGGCCAGTAGTACAAATGCATGCAATGTCAAGTGAATAGGTTCCTAACTGTACAATTTATTTACACAAACATTGATCAGAATGACATATTTTTCCCCCGTACCTGACGAACTGTGCTCCCCAGCTCACATCTTCCTCCTCCTCCTCTGCCTCTGCGTTGATGACGTCTGCAATTCGGTCATCCACAGATTCTGTTAAATGAAAAAAGTTTTTTGAAATTGTTATCTTCTGCATGTAATGATGTAGACAAAGTGGTATAAAACACCTATACAGTTCACCAATATTAACATGGCTTTCAAAAATGATAACTAGAGTGGAGAGTATCTATACCTTTATTGATGTGGCACACAGTGGCACTCCTTTGTCCTATCTTGGCTCCAAGACTTGGATTCTTTATGGCAATAATGAAGTTTTTGGAGCCCTGTAAAATTGAGTGTAAAATGAAAATATGATGATGGAGTAAATTGAACAGGTGTGCATAGCAGAGTACCAACACAACATTAGCCAGTATATCTAAGTATATGTGACTAGCAATCAAACTTGTAGCACCTATTTGAGGCAGTTTCTTACCCTGTTCCAAGCATTTACAATATCTGCAAAATCAAAGTTCCGACAAAGATCAAAAACTCATTTTTCAATAACACTCATGTAAACTTTCAATAAAATAGTTTTAGCTTTAGTGGATAAAAGGACCTCTCCTTCAGAACATGTTGCAGCTACATGCATCAAGCATTTATCTATTTATATTGAAGTTTTCCCCTTAAAATTTAGCACTGCACCTGTTGTTTTGACAACAAGTGTACTGATAGATTAAGCCCATACAATATTTTAAATGTAAGTGGTACATTCAGTTATCCTAAATACACTTGATTCTAAACAATCATCAATGAAAATTGATCATTTTCATTTATTAAAGAATACTTTCTTTTTTCTTTTGTAACAATCACTACTTTCTCGTGAATATTGTAACATGTTTGTTTTAGATGTCTTTCAGGTTTTAAATGTTAGAAGATTTTCTACTAAATTATGAAATATTCTTTTATGAATGAATGTTCATTTGCATATTTGTACTCACGACCTTGATATTTCTTAACCTATCAAAACAGGATGAAAAGATTCCTTGTGCTTGATTCATTACCATTTTTACTGCTTTAATTCATTTGAGACAAAATTAAAAAGTACTGACTAAACACCACAGTTTGAGGGTCCAGGGATTGAATTCTTGTGTTACATTATCATAACAACAAGACATAGTTTATAGCTATATCCCATTTAATTATTTTATCAAGTGCAAAAAACACTTCAGACAAAAATAAAAATTCAACAATCATTGTATGATTGATTTGACCTCTTGGTGGGATCAGAAAGTCACAGGGTCATGCCTTCAGAATCAGTGTCAGTGACAGGATTTTTTTATATCTGGCGATCAAACTCCAGTGAAAGGCTCCATGATAGAGTGTTCAAATTCTGGTTAATCACATGTCCACTGGAAATCACACATCTGATACCACGTAACTGTCTTGTAACTTCAATGATCTTTATTTCCGATTATTATATCAGAATTGAATAACATGTTAAGCCTATATAATCCCTCTTTTGTAAACAGTGGTTTGATATGAGCCATTTCTATTTAAAACCTCATTCTGGTCATGATAAGCAGTACTAGGTTCCACTTAAAAAATAAAAACACAACAGTGTACCCTGAATTACCAGAGGTCAGTGATCAAGGATTACCAATTTTGACCATTAAGCTGTAAGTTGTATCATCATAGACAATATTAAACTCCATTCAGACAATACTGGATCTTTCTATAAAAATATCTATTTAATTCACACTTTAAATCCTGATTGTTCATTAAGAATTTTGTCAATTTCAAATCACAGTGTGGAAGATTTCATATTACTACACCTAATTCAGCTCTTTGAAAAACTTCCATGGCATTTAAACTCTTTGTTAGTCATGCAGTTATTGATTTTCAAAGATAGTTTCAATGAACTTTCATGCGAGTCATGTTAAATGTAATTTACGAGACAATTAAAACCAGTAATAATTACAAATATCAAAATACTTTTAAGTAGAATGTTCTTTTTTCTTCTTAAGAACACTTCATAATCCTTCACAAAAACAGCATAACACTTGTAATGTGTTTATACCTTGGCATCTTTTTTAATGTTGATATCAATAGTTTTGCTCGTCTCGGCATGAGTGAAGGTCAAAACTCCCTCTGAGTGGACATAATCAACATTAGAGCCAATTTCTTTACCCCCTGATGCTGTCCCGTCACTACAAATTAAAAACGACATCTCTTTAGGCATCACAAGTCATTTACTTTTTAAATGAAAGTAGTAAGATATGTTGAACCTGGACTAATTTGTTTTGAACAGTTTGACTCAGTGTAACATATTGAACAACTTGGCTCAGTGTTCGATGTTCAGATGATCTGTTTTATTTTTCATATTCAGAATTATATTTCAGCTTCTATATATTGACAAAATTTTGGAAATTCCTTTATAAATTTCACTTACATGGTTGAGTACTCCATTGTGACTTTGCCATCAAATCCATGCTCCCGAACAACCCTGCAACTCACTTTACCTGACTTCAGATCTGCATAGCAGTGAGGTTGTTCGAAGAGAAACTCTCCGGGCTCTATAAAAATCACAGTTCTTAAGGTAAATTTCAAAAAGAAATAAAGCCTTTTGAAAAATAAACAAGTTATGATTATATCTGGTTGAAATGGTCAATTCTTTATTGATAAACAATGCTATAGCTTTCTCTAGTATCTCAGGAGGATGTAGACAAAATCAAGAAAGTCACTGTCAACATTGCCAAAAACTCTAGATTTCACTCCAAATGTTGATGGTGATATATACTCAAGTATTTTACTAGACCATACAGCTGTATTAACTCTATCATCATTGTGTACATTAGCCACTCTTTTGACACTACAATGTGCACTGTATGATCACTCTCGTGACTCTGGGGTACCTACCGTCATTGCCCACAATTGTCACTCTCGTGACACTAGGGTACCTACCGTCATTGTCCACTATTGTCACTCTTGTGACACTGGGGTACCTACCGTCATTGTCCACTATTGTCACTCTCGTGACACTAGGGTACCTACCGTCATTGTCCACAATTGTCACTCTTGTGACACTGGGGTACCTACCGTCATTGTCCACTATTGTCACTCTCATGACACTAGGGTACCTACTATCATCGTCCACTATTGTCACTCTCATGACACTAGGGTACCTACCGTCATTGTCCACAATTGTCACTCTTGTGACACTGGGGTACCTACCGTCATTGTCCACTATTGTCACTCTCATGACACTAGGGTACCTACTATCATCGTCCACTATTGTCACTCTCATGACACTAGGGTACCGACCGTCATTGTCCACTATTGTCACTCTCATGACACTTAGGTACCTACTATCATCGTCCACTATTGTCACTCTCATGATTCTGGGGTACCTACTGCCATCGTCCACTATTGTCACTCTCATGACACTAGGGTACCAACTGCCATCTTACAATATTGTCACTCTTGTAACACTAGGCTACCGACTGTCATCGTCCACTATTGTCACTCTCATGACACTAGGGTACCAACCGCCATCATCCACTATTGTCACTCTCATGACAATAAGGTACCTACCACCATTGTCCACTATTGTCACTCTCATGACACTAAGGTACCTACCGTCATCATCCACAATTGTCATATTTGTGGCACTGGGGTACCTACCGTCATCGTCCACTATTGTCACTCTCATGACACTAAGGTACCTACCGTCATCATTCACTATTGTCACTCTTGTGAAACTAGGGTACCTACCGTCATCATCCACTATTGTCACTCTCGTGACACTAGGGTCGCCTATGTTACTGCCGTTGTTGGGGTTCTTCAGAATGATGTAGAAGTCCACATCGTTTTCAAACTGTTGGTCGTTAATGATGGGGATGGTTATAGACTTCTGGAACTCATTCTCCTTGAAAGTCTGTAATAATAATATCACACACAAGTGTATTTTTCACACTGCAATTGATTATCGTACACAATGAAAATGCCAAATCTCTATTTGTTTAGATGGTAGCATTTATGGGTTAATTCAAATTAAAGCATCATTATTTCCCAGTAGATGTTGGTAGAAAATCTTCAGCGCACTTTAGGGGAATCTCTTAAGGTGTACTTTGATGATTCTTTGAGCAAACTGTTGAGTCATTAGAAAATCACTTTAGAGGGTGTTAAACCAGTATTTTTGTGTAATTGCCATGTGTGTTAATACATGTATCCATTTCCTTGTTTTAGTCTGTATTTAGTCTAGATTTCTTTGTATACTTTTAAGGAATCTCTGTGCTTTTATGCAATGTCTGCAGAATGACATCAATAACAGGGAATCTGTACATAGACTTGTAGATAATTTTTAAATGTACTATTATTGAAAATTATGTAATTCAACATACAACTGCCTCTTAAGGATCTACTTTTGGTAAAACCTGAAGAATCCAATAGTGTTACTTTAATTTGTACTGACAGGAATTCCTTTACAGAACTTTTAAGGTTTTGCAGTATACTATCACAGAAAATGCCCCATTGCACATATAAAATCCCTGACTGCATTTGTGATGAATCTTACAAAGTACCATGAGAAAAACCCTTAACCATACTTACAAGGAATCCCTGCGTATATTTGAAGTCCTTGCCAGCCTTGGCAGATCCCTCCCTTGTTTCATACTCCACAGTCACATCCCCTGAAAATGTCTGCTCTGACTCTCCAGCTGGTGCCACCTTACCTCCCTTGGCAGCTCCAGCATCGCCATTCTGTTACAATGAAATGCATGAGTGTATACCAGTAATTTAAAAGGGAATATTGTACTTAAGACAAAACTAAAGGGATTGCAACATCCTCACTGATATAGTCAGAACTTGTTCTGTGTTACTTTGACATTTCTTAGTGTAGTGGTATCAATTGTATTAACAGAAGAATGATTCTGAGAAATAGCAATAACAAATTTCAACAGTTCAAATCCAACATGTAGTCTGTCTGCCATATATATTCTATAATTCTAATGGAGGGCAACTAAAGAGCGAAGGGGACTTCATATCAAATTTTGGAGGATCCACAAAGCACTTCAAAATATAGTGATAACTAACTGATACTGTCAAAATCCATCATTGTCTATAACAGTATTTTTATTTTTCAACCTCAGAACTTTCTTCAGTTCAAAACAAATCTCCATTTAGTACTAACAAGCTTTTTCAAAATATATCACAACTGCCCGTTGGCAATTTGGTCTTTCAAAATATACTAAACATGAACAGGCAAAGATTAAAACCAAGGGAAAACACTCCTGACATTGGAGGCAGATCCATCAAGTGATTCTAAAGAATTAGTGATAAAATATTTCAACAGCGAAAAAAATGGTTACATGCTGCCTTTCCCTTCCCAATCAATCTCAAACTTGCACAAGGCACAATCAGAGACTTGGGAAAATATTCATTTGAAATTTGAGGAAGGTATTTCCAGCAGAAATGGCACTAAACAACTTGAAATGTCTAAAACTAAGATGGCTGCCACTGCATTTCAAGATATATCAAGATAACTACATCTGTTTGGGGCTAATTGATCAATGATCACAGGTAAAAAGTGATTTCAACAGCCAACCTTCTGATGATGGCTTAAAGCTTGCTTAAGGTCCCAGACTTGTAAAGATATGTTATAGGCTATGCCAGATAAATACTTTGAGAAATATTCCTGTCTAGACAGGCAGTATTAGCATTGCTACATGGTTACACACAGGAGAGTTCCTAAATTTTTACTTGGAAACGACATGCAATGTGAACTTTGTAAAACAAGTAATATGTTATTGAATGCAGTACCATGGTGAAGCTATGGGGTTGTTCTGATTGTACTCATTTAGTCACATTCTAGCACTAAACAATTTGCAGAATTAAAGGTAGAAAACCAATTACTTACTGCTATTTGAGGTTTGCTGCCAGGTTTTCTGTAAATAACAAAAGATAGACACCATGTAGATTATCGTTGTTATTAGATATTTTTTTTTCTAGAGTTTTGCTTCTGTTTTTGCTATCCTTAAAAATTGATTACAAATACGAAACAAAGGATTTGAAACCACTTCAACTGCAAAAGCCATGCATATTCACAAATTGCTATGTTATAAATTTATACTGTATTAACTCTGCATACATAAAGCTGGCCTCTTAGTATTTTAGTTTCTTGCCATACCTGGCTTTAGTCCTAACAGAAACAGAATACAGTTTGGAGATTTACACATCAGCATTTGACACTTTATGATAATAAACTTTAAGTTTGGTACATCCTTCATCAAGATTTTGTAATTTGTTCCAGTTAAGTACGACATTGCTTATCAAGGAAAATTTATAGAGCAAATTATTTGGAAATTTCAACATTATGTGAAAATTTTTGTAGTTACAACTGATATGACTGAGAAATTTTTAACTTTAAAACCATAAACATCCAAACTGTGGAACACATATTCAGAAACGATATAACCATACCTTTTGCAAAAACATGAATGATCAAAATTTGCAAAGGAAATGCAAACATGCTGAGGACCAGATCAAGATGAAGAAAAAAAGAAGGTCAGTATAGCTAGTATATAAACAAGTACTAGTGTTACTAAGGGATACCCTTACAGTGTTAGAAAAGTGTGGTCTGACAAGATTCTACTGTCATCATCAGTAAAGTAGCACAAAGACTGGGACTTGTTTATATCCAATTAAGTAAAGAGTGAAGTCCTGCTTATCAGAAAGGCCATTAAACCATTGTCTAATTGTGTTGACTAATATTGGGTATTGACCATAAAAAGGGTTGCTATTGATATTATCAGATAATATAACAAAATATAGGACATTTTTTCATCAATTTTTGTATTGATTATTAATAGATAAGCCAATCACCAGTCATTTTTATCATCTAGATAACTTCAACAGACAGAAAACAGTCTTTACATGGACTACATTAACACCATATGATAAAATCATTATCTTCTAATATTAGTGTCCATTTGTCATTTCAGACAAGATTTCATCCTATTTTGAAATTTATGATGAACAAACATTATCAGCTACATCTATTTGACCCACTATAGCTGACACTAACCTTCATTAATTAACCTACAACTACGGATGCTGGCAATAATATTTAGTGATTAACCTACAATGAGTGATGATGATATTAACCTTTATCATTTAACCTACAACTAGCAATGCTGATAGTCCTATCTATCATTTCACCCACAATTAGGAATGCTGACAGTCCTATCTATCATTTCACCCACAACTAGGAATGCTGACAGTCCTATCTATCATTTCACCCACAACTAGGAATGCTGACAGTCCTATCTATCATTTCACCCACAACTAGGAATGCTGATAGTCCTATCTATCATTTCACCCACAACTAGGAATGCTGATAGTCCTATCTATCATTTCACCTACAACTAGGAATGCTGATAGTCCTATCTATCATTTCACCTACAACTAGGAATGCTGACAGTCCTATCTATCATTTCACCTACAACTAGGAATGCTGACAGTCCTATCTATCATTTCACCTACAACTAGGAATGCTGACAGTAACCTGTATCAAGTAACAAAGATTAAGTGAGATGTTCATCAATCAGACCTAACTTTACAATATTTCCCACAATACTGAGTGCAAAAACTCAATCCAAGGGAAGCTTGGCAGCAATTCACTTTCAGCAAAAATACATTAGAATTTCATTATTCTTTGAAGGATTTTATTAATTTCTTCAGTGTGATGTAGTACACAACAAAATGAACTGGAAAGAAAAAGGAAATTTAAAGTTATTATTTCTACTGGATGTGTTTAAAAACAGCAACATGTGGTTTGGCAAAGAAGTGCATGGGAAGTGAATTATGCAAGAAAGATGGGGTCATAACAAGTTGTTCAAAGTCCAGATCTTACTATGCTGAATTATGTCTTAAGTACTTAAACTTTGGGGATTGAAATCAGCACATTAATCTATGTTCTATGACATAATAACAAATGAATCAATCAACATTAAACAATGTTACCATGTTTAACAAGTGAAAACTGAAGTGATATTTCAGGCATGTATCCTATACTACATTAGTGACATAGACCTGTAATTTGAAATGTTATCAATTATATGGCATACATGATTTCACTCTGATTTGAACAACTTGAGATGAATGTGCTGTGGAGGAGTTGAAGGGTATCACACCATTACCCTAAAGCATTAATTATAGCTTCACTGCGCTTTCTTTGTAGGAGTGGTATAATATGGGATCTGTTGGCAAATAAAAATAATAATAATTGATGACTAATTTACCAGAATTGCACTCTGTCAACCACAACTACTGTTTACATATGTATAGTAAGATGCTATCTGGTAAAGAACAGCCACTAGAGGTCTCCATCCACACCAACGGACACAGATTAATAAATATCTTTATCTTGTGTCACCAGTAATAAGTGAATTAGACCCATAACAGATCTGCTGCCTAATCCAACTACCACCTATCACACATTATCTATATATGGTCTCCTCAATTACAGTGTTCTGGCCCACACACTTAAATTCTAGGACCATCTCCAGGACATCCAAATCCAATCATTTGACTCTGATTTCTTGCCCCACCAAAGCTAGTAGTTATCAGGAAGATAGACCTGTAATTTACTTATCTAGTTTGATAGTAAAGATATCACCACCATACAGGTTTGATAATTTATGCAAGGCCTGGAGACTAGTTATTGGAAATGTGCATGGTACTAACATATATCTATAACCATTAGTGAAAATGGTATGTGAAATTATCCCAGAATTTATTCTGTAACACTACAAGCTGTTTGTATGTAATGGCCATTATTTTAAAAATCATACAATATAAATCAGATATCTACACTGGTTAAATGGCCCCAAATTTTAATGATACAATGTATGTATATTTATTATTATAATGCAATAACTTTCATTGGTTGCAGTAGTTTATTATTATTATTAATCAAATGTATTTCAAAGTCTGAATTAACATCAAGTAACTCAACATTAACAAGGAGATCTCTTTATCAAAGGTCTCAAAATATATAACCAGTAATAAATTAACTTAAGACAAGAAGCACCATAGTTTGAAGACATGCTTGTATAGTGGTTTTCAGATGCCATGCACAATCATCACAACAAATGAATGACAGATTCATTTAAATGTTTCATATTCAGAAAACTAATATATGTTCTATCTAATTCAGTTTCACAGCAGTCCAAAAACTTTCTAAATTCGTGTATTAAAATACTGCATACAAAGTTTACTTTTTTTAATTTTCATAAATTATGATGGGAATAAGTGAACCATGGTTTTGTTGAAATCTTGGTAATTTGGCGAGTTCACTGTTTACCATTCTACTACTGGTATAATAATCAGTGCCAGAAACATCCAAATAACTCTTGTTTTCCCTTTGTATACACTAAGAATAATACCATAGATTACATCTAACATAAAGACACGTATGTAAACATTTAAGTGCTGTTTCTATGAATGTATCTACCATCTAGTACCAATGATAAGCCCATTGCTCAGTAACAAACCCATTCATTTGATGAACAATTGATTTAAAGGTCATTCCTGGAAATACGCTTTGTATAAATTGTCAAATTACAGAACATGGGCTTATTAAAGGTTAAATATGGTGAGAGTTTCTATCTATATCAGTTTCAGACACAACAAAATTTACTTACAACAAAGTAATATCTCTATGTATCACTGCAATTTCCCAGTGATCATAATGTCCTAATCTAGATGGTGAGACTTATACCTCAAACAATATACTCTACAAGCTAGCTCAATCATAGCAAAACAGTCCAAGCATTTTACTGACAAATTTACCTATAGCCTCAAACATGAAGCAACAACATCTATATATTTCTTATGGACCTGTTTTTCATGTTTGACCGCCAACTAAAATGCCTGGACTAAAGATATAGGTACAGAGAAAGATAACAATGCTATGACAGACTAAACGCACACACATCAAGACTATCTTGCATCTAGGTGCCGCAAGTCTTGGCTTACCCTTGGTCAGAACTGTGTAAAAACAGACATAACGTAACACACCTATACATAAACAACCAGCACTATCACCACCACACCTTCATGGAAGTGGTTAACAGTTTAACCTTGTGGAATACATTCTTATTATCTTTCTAGGAATCCACAATTTTGGAAATCAACCTGGCATTAACTACTAGAACATAGATGAGATCCTATATCTAGCAAGCACATGTGCAAGATTTTCTGGTTATGAGAATTTATAAGCAAAACTGGAGAATGTAGATACAATATGCGTAATATATTCCCAAGAAATTTTGTGTAAAGAAGTTTTGAATTTCCATTCTAAGAATTACAATTTGTTTCTTGTACATAATAAAAGAATTATAATACCACTCATATTTTTTATAGATGGAAAGCGAAGACTTATTTAACAGATAGTAACTTACGGCAGGTTCCTGTGGAACAAAACATCTACATCAAGTGTGCCTGTGCTCTCCAGGACTGCATAACGGTCTGAGGCGAAAGTAAACTTTCCAAAAAGCTCACCTGCATTACATAAAATTGATTAATTGCAAGTAACTAAACACTTACATTTACCACTGTACAAGACTATATAGTTTATCTATATTATGAAGGCTATAAAGCTCTAATATTACTATACAATGGAAACCTATTATAGGTACAGCATACATTTCTATCATTTATTTGTATAAATTGCTATTATGAATTCTACTAATGTGAATGCTATTGTAGATTTATAAAATATATAAACTGCTAATGCAGTTGGATGTAAAAACGTTGCTTCTGCTAGGGAACAAACTAGCAATCCTTTGGTCTCTAGCCAAACAACTCAACAATTAAGCCTAAGGACAGTTCCCACTAGCCCAGACTATAAGCCAAACTGTACTATCAACTTCTACACTACTGTAAATGTTATTGTTCATTTCTAGTGAAAATTGCTATTGTGAATGCTATTGTAGATTTGTAGTGAAAATTGCTAATGAGAGTGGTATTGTAGATTTATATTGTAAACTGCTATTGTGTATGCTATTATAGATTTGTAGTGAAAATTGCTATTGTAAATGCTACTGTAAATTTGTAGTGAAAACTGCTAATATGAGTTTTAAAGATTTAATTACTATTGTGAATACTTTTTTCGGTTGAAAATGTCATTTCTATCTGGGACTGCTGTACATTATTTTGTAGATGGTGTGCACTGCTATGAGATAAAAAAGGGTTTTGTTTCTCTTTGGCAAATTAAATCTGCATACAACATTAATAAAACAGGTCTGTCTTTATTGCATATTTACCATCCTGATAAAACCTCTCTGACTTTTGTGTGTGTTATTTAAAACGTTTCTTTTGTGACCACTATTGACTTACCAGTTGGCATCTTGCCCTTAATGTTGATGTTTTGGACAGTTTGGACAACTTCTGCAAATCTGGCTGAAGCTTTTCCACTGCCAGTCCTCATCTTTTTGTTTCCAGTCATAGCACTAACCACGGCATGACGGAATCTGTGGAAAGGTAAAATTGTTTCTTAAGTCCGGTAATCCAAGATAATTTCTCCTTAATTGTCAAACAATCAAACACGCTACAGAACACAAACCAAAATATATCGACTGTTGAACATGCAAAACAAAATAATCTATTTTGTCTAGAAATAAAAATGAAATATCAACTTTATTTTACATATACCACTAACACTTAATTCTTTATTGTCAATTAGTACAGCTCAGTGATGGAGAATACAGGACCATCACTTACAATCTAGCTACTTCTAATCTGACATTCTTACTAAATATACAAAGAACATTGGGGGAAAGGCTACATATATAAGATGAATGTCCAGAAACTGTTAGGTTAGCCTGCCAATAATGATTAACACTGACCACTAAAAGGCTTCTGGAGTTAATGACCAAGACACTCTACTGGCCAGCTAATGTCAATGGCTATCCAGACAGACACCACTCAGTAAATGCTTTGGTCACTAAACCAGCTCTATTGATCAGCACTGTAGTACTGATAGTTTGGAAAGATTTTTTTGTTTCATCTTATCTCTATTTCAAGACAGTTTTAATTAAAACAAACAACTTTTTTTCTTTTTCATAAATTGTTAATTCCTTTTTTCCCTCTCTCAAAATCTGATATATCTAGAAAAATCCATGGTTAGGATGGAGAGATGAGATAGAATTAACTATTTACACATGATTAATAATCAGATATACAGGAAACATAATTATAAAATACTTAGGGAGAGTGACATGTGGCACTATACCCAAAGCAATACTAACACATGCATGTCAGTGCAGCTTTGTCACATCCCAAAGCTGAATTCAGATCTAAACATGCCTATTCATGCTTTCTAATACTCAGTAAAATTACATTTATTTGAAACATATTCACTAACTTTAGGTAAAAACACACCTATTTAACATGCAGAAGAGAAATATCCCATCAAGTGACATGCCAGAACATACATGACATCCTGCTATTTGTTACAACAGCTGTTATTTCCTTTACTAACCAGAGAATGCTCTTAATCACCGCTATATTGATAGATCAACACTCACAAAATGAAGTGATACATAGAATATAAATCTAAGCAGTTTGTTTTTTCTGTCAAAGCATGCGCACACATTCAGAAATTTGAGAACAGATAACATTTCCATGTCAGAGCAAGCATTACTTCAGGGCATACATCTAGAAAATCAGTATTCCTTTTCTCAAACTTAGGTATGGAAAAGTTTTGGTCTAAGACAGTTTTTTTGTGTACTAGCAGTATAAAGTTTATGGTATAAAGATGATAACTGGGAGAAGTTAACCATCAGATGGTCATATTTGGACAAAGAAGATAACAAATCCAGGACTTACTGCGAGATCTCCACCATATTATGTATAACGGATTTCTTTCATATCTTTGACATAAACTGATTTCTCAGGAAAATTCATTCTATTTAATCTAGGTATTTACAATGGAAGAGTTAGCAATATCTTCAATTAAAAGTTTCAAATAACATCTAGGAAAACCAAAATTTTACCCATCCTTACTCCACCCCTTATAGCAAAAAGAAAGATGAACCATCTATAATAGATTCTTTATATATATATTACGTTTTCGGCAGTCCAATCATGGTTTGGCCATATTAGGGTAAGAGAATTCTGTCCTCCTTGTTCCACAGGACAACACAGATCTCAACACAATGACAATATGGTATGAAACAGAAGAGACTGATTACTGAGGGTCAGTAGTGTTGGACAATCGGTGTGGGGAGAGTTCGTTTTCTATTATACTCCAACATCAAACCTATTCTGGCAACTACTTGCTTTAAGCTGTCAAATCAGCTTGACTACCTTATCTAAGAAAGCAAAGGATAATTTCAAAATCAAAAAAGTAATAAATATACAAGTGCATTTATGTAATGTGCCAAAGATTGATTTTAATATATACATGATAACTATAATAAAAAAAGATTTCATATAAGAAACTGGTTGAATTTGACATCTAACAACATTTGAGGAAGAAGTCTGCTGTGAGCTTTACATGGTTATGCGGTACATAAGCAGACAGATTGAGGTATACATTGTGAATTCAGCAGAGAAGTACACATAAGGGAGATCACTCTGAACAATGTGATTTTTTTCGCACCTGAACCTATGGTCATTCCAGGAATAGAATGGAAATGCAACAAGAAAAAAAAAATACAAAAAATTAACACAATAACTTGAATGAATGGAATTTAACACAAATCAAAAACCTAAAAATAAAATATATATTTAAATGATGACACTGGATTACAAAAATAATGTTTGAATTGTAATACATATACACAAAATTATGTAAATCATAAAATAGCATGTCATGTAACACAGTGGATGCCTGGACACAAGCAAGCATAAGGTTTCATTTAATGCTATTGGAAGCGTCAACCACTACATGCTATTTTCCATGTAACTATTATGGTTGTGTCAGGAATAAAATCTTCATCTTTTACAAAAAGATAATCATTTTAACAAGCTTTGAGCACTATATAATTGGCTATTTTCAGCAAATCTATCTAAAGTGACTCCTGAGAGCACTATCAGCGACAGTATTCTATTGTGAATTGGTGACCATACAGCATTGTGCAATAAACTGGATTTACTACAATTCTAATGTTTCTGCATTTATTCCTTTTAAATCTGAAAGAAAATAATCATTGTTTGCAACTCTGTGAGAGAAATTTCTCAGATCAGTGAATCCTGTCTTGTTGAAATACAGCCTGGCTTATATAGCAGGCTTTATATTCACCAGAGGATTCCATATATACTGTACATTACCTAGATTCTATTACTTTCTCATCAATCACAAAGTCAAGTATTTGAGGATCAATTATTTTTAGATATATCTAACGATCGATTATTTATAGATCATGCTGAATAAAATGTGAATTAATCATTTACAATTAGATATAGAATTAGCAGGCTGTAAAATTACATGTGTATGAAATAATAGTGATCTGATGCCACTGACTGGAGGAGCTGTGATCTCGGGGGAAAAGTTGCTGAGGATTCTATAATAAAGCAATGGGAATACATAAATGAAAGCTGCAATCTGCCCTGTTTCAGCTGTCATCCTCTACATATACACTAATATATCTCGGACATAGTAAAGAAATAAAAATAAGTTTCTGCTCTGTTCTGTTTCATTTCTACACACTGAATTAAAATCGTTGTTTCCTAGATTTGTAATTGACTTAGTTATAAAGTTTTATTTCATCTCAAATTAGTATAGTTCTTATGTATAGTAGTATCATCAATACATTTCATATACAACTCTGTCAGGAGATCTGAACTGTATACTTCAAGTGTTATGAACATGACATACAAGTGTTAATTTGCATATAAAAACTGTATAGCATCGTATTTTACTTAAAAAAAATTCTGATGTAAAAGTTAATTAAAAAAACTTAAGAGAGAATGAATGCTGAAATGCCACTGAGAGTAGATTGCAGGTTGTTTTTAAACTTCTGTGCTCCTGCAACCAAAAAAAGCCCCAGGCTCTGAACCTTCTCTCAACTATACAGGAACCAATGATGGGGCATGCAGCTCAAAACTAATGGGTTGCTTTCACAGTTTGCACCTGCTTTCAAAGTCCATATACTTAAAATATGGAACATTTGTAAAAAGGTAGATAAATTCAACACCAAAAAACATATTTCAAAAACCTGAAGGCTAGACTGTTTTCAATTCTTCTAACTATGACCCATCAGTTTTGACACACATTTGCCATCATTATGAGGGAAAAGAGATTTAATGGAACCAGAGAACTGTTTACTTACTGAGCTCGAACAGCCATGCTTGTCTTTCTGTGAACATTGTGGTTATCATATATCTTTATCTTGTACAATTTAACCTCACTTTCAGCCTTGAATGACTAATTAGTCTCTACATGAAACATCATTTAAACTTAATTTCACACATTCAATCGTTTTTTTCTTTGATCATATAAATGAATGAATGTGTATATATTTCATCCACAGTGCTAAATTTCAAACACCAAAAAGAAGTATTGATATTTACAAAACACAAAAATGATGTGCACAAGCATGTTGGAGTGGTATCCTGGGATGAAGATGTTTGTGTGTGATTTGGAGTCAGCAAGTGGTGTTGTAATGTACTGCTTTGTCTGTCTAATTCAATAACAATTGTATTACTAGCATCACTACAGTGCATGCAGGTGTCTAATAATAGGTTCAACAAGTTAAGAACAATGAAAACTGTCTTTAACAGAATTTGGTGATCTTTAAAGTGTCATATAGTTGTCATGAAGAAAAAGTAGGTGTCCAAACATTGTTCTGAAAGGCTCTGAATTGTCAAATAGATGCCATGGAGAATCAGAAATTGTCGAATAACTGAACTCAAAACATTTCCAATTGTGATATAGTTGCCATGTGAAATAAGCAAGTGACAAATAAGTCTTCTAAAAGACTAAATGTATAGGCCGTCACACAGAAGTTCCAAGTGTCCAATAATTCTTCTAAAAGGCTCGTAAATGTACAGGCTGTCACGTAGAATTTCCTAGTGTCCAATAATTCTTCTAAAAGACTCCTAAATGTAAGACTGTCACACAGAATTTCCTAGTGTCCAATAATTCTTCTAAAAGGCTCGTAAATGTATAGGCCGTCACACAGAATTTCCTAGTGTCCAATAATTCTTCTAAAAGGCTCGTAAATGTATAGGCCGTCACACAGAATTTCCTAGTGTCCAATAATTGTTCTAAAAGACTCGTAAATGTATAGGCCGTCACACAGAATTTCCTAGTGTCCAATAATTCTTCTAAAAGACTCCTAAATGTATAGGCCGTCACACAGAATTTCCTAGTGTCCAATATTTCTTCTAAGACTCCTAAATGTAAGACTGTCACACAGAATTTCCTAGTGTCCAATAATTCTTCTAAAAGACTCGTAAATGTATAGGCCGTCACACAGAATTTCCTAGTGTCCAATAATTGTTCTAAAAGACTCGTAAATGTATAGGCCGTCACACAGAATTTCCTAGTGTCCAATATTTCTTCTAAGACTCCTAAATGTAAGACTGTCACACAGAATTTCCTAGTGTCCAATAATTCTTCTTAAAGGCTCGTAAATGTAAGACTGTCACGTAGAATTTCCTGGTGTCCAATAATTCTTCTTAAAGGTTTCTAAATGTATAGGCTGTCATGCAGAATTAACCAGTGTCAAGTAATTATTCTGAAAGGTTAAGTGTCATATTGTTGTCATGAAGGGGTTTAAAGCAGAAAAAAATTGTTTTTTAATGCATAAGGAATATGGTAATAAAGTGATGGTTCCAGAGTATTTGAGGTTGGTAAGATACATACAGGATATCTTATTTTGAGGGTTTGGGATATCTGTGTACTGAATTCCTGGTTAAATATGACCGCCTGGGTACAGTGGCGACACTGTTGGTTATGACATGCGTCTGGGGGAGGTGACATAAGAGAGATTCTTACTCAATATAGTCATGTAACAATGACTCAGATGACCCCACGTCAGATAACTCATCTGCCTTCTGAAAACTGTGAGAATCAACACAACATCATCATGAAGAGGTAGCTAAGTGACATTAAGACATTTTGTGTTCATCAGCTGAGCAGTTTTGTATAAAACAGTTGTAACACGCTTTCATATCAGTTCAAATCCGGGAGATAGAAAGTCACATTTGTGTGGTTGTTTCATCAATTCCAGATGTCCTTCTTATTTGTCGTCACTTGTAACACTCAGCAATAAAATATTCAGTTGCTATAGGACAGTATTTGTTTTAAAAGTTTCTGAAATTGTAATCTTATAAGGATTCAAGATATTTGTGTCTTTGAAAATAAATCAATAAAAAAACATTACTGGACGTGATTACTCAGACTTCCAATGCGCTAACAAAACACGACTTTTTGTTAGTATTAGGAAACCAACAAACTATAGTTTTTAGATAAATGCCTCAGCTGATACAAGTCAGACTGTGTTCTTAGTGTTCAGCTGGTGAAATTCTAGGCTTGATTTTAAATCAGTTAACTGGAGCTATCTTTGATTGATCTGAAGGAATCTAACCCTATCTGTCACACATGTCAACATGAAATTGATGCCGACAGATTGGTGAACTATCAGGGGCTTCCCGAGGCAACTCACGTGAGGATAATCGGTTAGATCCCTACTAGCAAATTTAAGTCTTCATTTCTATGGATGGGGCTTTCATAGCTCCATTTTCTTATTTGTTTAAATATATGCTGAACAACAAAGATTAAGTTACAAAAACTGTCAAAACTTTGTGAGATTCATTCTTGTAACTTGGGTTTTAAAAAAGGGTGTTTAAATATAGAAGAAAACCAGAATCCTTGGAGAGAAAGAGAGAGGGGGGTGGGGGGTGGGGGGTGGGGTCACATATCTGAGCAGGTTGATCCCATACCAATAATTTCTGATAGCACAGACCTCTAACCTAGTCCTCCAAGACAGGGATAATAGACATACCAATACACTGTTCTCTTCCAAGAACCTGCCATACCAAAACATGTTGGTGGAAGGACCCTTATATATTGGGGGTTTACATAACATGTAGGTAATAGAATTGTTAACAGAGAGAACTACATACCTAGTGACTGGATCAGTGAAAGCATATTATCTACTTGTGAGATAGAAAATTTTTTTGTGAAGTATGAAAACAGCAAAGGTTATCAAGCCAACAGAAGTCATGGAATATTGTACTGAGAAACTGGAGAGTAATGTGGAAGTTGCACCAAAAGTAAAAAAAACCCTTGGTCTTTCTTCAGCAAGGAAAAGATAGTATTTTTATTGTAAATAATTTAAAGAGATTATCAGAAATGGATATAGGTATTCCTTTGTGTTTGTATATTAAATGCAGAAGTTTGACTGTCAGTACAATACCTGAGTTACAATGGTATTGTTATAAGTAGGAATTGACGAGTATGGCAGAGGTCATCTGAAGGAGTGTAGGCAGATTGATCAACCCTGGCCGAAAAGTGTGATGAACTCTTTAACACACAGGAAAGAAAATAACAAAAAAAAAGTATGAAGACTTACCGTAAATTTATTTGAGCATGCATGGGGAAAACAGACAGAAATATCTAAACATCTTAGCAATGACAACACAAAGAGGAGAATACCCTCAACAGCGAGTCATTATAAAAGACAATGGGACCATCTTGTATAGAAAAATCTTTTCTTGAAAGAATAACACAATGCTAGGATTTGGAAAGGTCTTCAAGTACATATATCACAGTACTTCCATCATAAATGTCTTGAAGCATTTTGACAAGAGTTTCTTGAAGGGCATATTATACAGTACTTCGAGTCTAGTATTGGCAGTATTTTCATGAAATATAAATGTACTTATTTATTCAGCAGTGTCTTTGGATATTTCCTGAAGTACAAAGTCAGCAATACTAGGCAATATGTGTTGACTGCTATAAACACTTCTATATTATGCAGTCACACACTGGTGATGTCTTTCCTTTGAAAATGTATAATGAGTATGATTAACAAATGAAAATTGTATGATAGAAACTTGTATCAATAATGTGGAATTCATGGTGTGTAGACAAAATATAATTTACCTCTTGGAAAAGCCTCATCAATGTTGCAAAAGGTAAAGGTTTCTCGATCTAGAACTCATTAACAGGATCAATTGACTTTTTTTCTAATTTATATGCTTTCCTGCCACAATATTCAATAAATACAACCAAATGGCAGGCCATGGCTGACACAGGTAAAGCTACATTTACCCTCTACAGACAACATCAGGTAGAAGAGGGTCATGGAACTCACATGGAAAGAGGGATAAAGGGAAAAAATGAATCTAACCATTATCTCACACAACACAGAGAACAATGAAAAAGGAACACCCTCACTCTACATACAGTTACAACTAGGAGGGCAATTCATTTTCTCATATCAGTAGTCAAACTTATATCACTAGAAAGTTTGTTCACTGACATCTACATGCATTTTCCATGCATATGCTGAAGTAAAAATTGTACCTTTGATATAAAATGCATTAAATATTTGTTACAATAGCAATAATTTGTCTTGAAAAATCATTTCTTGCAGACACAGCCATCTTGGTTTCCATAGCAATAGTATAAAGGTCAGCAGATTGTTTATGCTTTCAGTTGAAAAGTACATGTGGCAACTCATCAAGTTACTGCATCTCAAAATACAGTGATATGAAAGATGGAATTCAGATTGTACAACAACTAAATAAGAAAATACTTATGATATTAGGAATCAACAGGACAATGGCTGTCACGGATTAATTAAATGACTGACCTTGCACGAGCAAATGCTTGTGGTTCCTTGGTGCCTTTTTCCACATTGAGGCGTTCAGAGATGGATCCCTGGTCTGCTCCACCTGTTCCTTTGTCATTGTGGCTACAACAAATCAAAAACAGGCAAAACTGTACTTAGCAGTATCTGGTTTGTGGGCAGAAAATCTGGCAACAGGGTTTACCTAGGAGTCTTTATAACAAAAAAAGCATCCCAGTGTTTTGTCATCAGTATTAGTGATGCATATAAATTTTAGCATGTTCAAACAAAGGACTCACTGCAACCCACTGAGTCAAGTGTTAAGTAAAAGACAATTTCTTATTTCAAAAGAAAGATTTTAATTTGACCTCAAACAAATACCTAAACCTAACTTGTGTGAGATTGTTGTGTTACACTGTCTTGTTGGTTAATTCTTTTGTACACAAACATATATAAACCATTTAACCCAAGATTAAATAGAAGGAAAGAAAATGGATTTAGCAGTTTGACCTTGTTCAAAACAAAGTACAAGTAACAAATAACCTACAATCTGGATTAAAGATGATACATCATGATGGCTGGGACAAGAATCCAACAGACTGACCTAGGTACTGATGCTAGGTTTGACAAATCATGAAGACTGGGACAACAATCCAATAGACTGACCTAAGTACTGATGATATGTTTGACAAATCATGAAGCTGGGACAAGAATCCAACAGACTGACCTAGGTACTGATGTTATGTTTGACAAATCATGATGGCTGGGACAAGAATCCAACAGACTGACCTAGGTACTGATGTTATGTTTGACAAATCATGATGGCTGGGACAAGAATCCAACAGACTGACCTAGGTACTGATGCTAGGTTTGACAAATCATGAAGACTGGGACAAGAATCCAATAGACTGACCTAGGTACTGATGTTATGTTTGACAAATCATGATGGCTGGGACAAGAATCCAACAGACTGACCTAGGTACTGATGTTATGTTTGACAAAGCATGAAGACTGGGACAAGAATCCAACAGACTGACCTAGGTACTGATGTTATGTTTGACAAAGCATGATGGCTGGGACAACAATCCAACAGACTGACCTAGGTACTGATGTTATGTTTGACAAAGCATGATGGCTGGGACAAGAATCCAACAGACTGAACTAGGTACTGATGTTATGTTTGACAAATCATGATGGCTGGGACAAGAATCCAATAGACTGAACTAGGTACTGATGTTATGTTTGACAAATCATGAAGGCTCTGACAAGAACCTGATCGGCTGACCTAGGTACTGATGTTATGTTTGACAAATCATGATGGCTGGGACAAGAATCCAATAGACTGAACTAGGTACTGATGTTATGTTTGACAAATCATGAAGGCTCTGACAAGAACCTGATCGGCTGACCTAGGTACTGATGTTATGTTTGACAAATCATGAAGGCTGGGACAAGAATCCAATTGACAGACCTAGGTAGTGATGCTATGTTTGAACACAACAATTATGATTGACATTTTTATCGCATGGGCCTAAATAGAATATGTCATAAAATATACAAATAAATTGTTAACAGAACTATTGGAAACTCATAAAAAACAAAGACCTGTTTATTTATTTATTCTACTCAACAATGTAGCACAATTTATATGTACATGAAACCAATTTTGAAGACAAATTCTTCTTAATATTAGCTCAAAGGGATAGATCAGGTAATCAATTTAAGCTTATTGTAATATATGTAACTGAAAAAAAAAAGTTTTTGTTAGAAGAAAAATGGTACTGATACACATTTCTCCTTTTAAAATGAGATTACAATGGCACACACTATCACGAGGCTCGTCTGAAATTCAGGACAACTATATGACACAGAGTAACTCTGATGTTCACCTAGTACAATACCAATCATAATCAATTTTTCATATCGCTTCAAAATTAAGGTATTGTATTGCTTGATTACCTACTTGAACATACTGACATATCGCGACTGATAACTGTGACACAAAGACTAACTTGTGAAGTATTTATGTATGTGTTGTGAGGCGATCCACAGATCTAAAGATTAAAATCCATACAACCTCATCTTACCTGGGTCCCCACGAATCTTAGGCTACCATACAAAACCACTGGACCTTAAGGTCAACTAAACGTTTGTGCAGAGCTCTGCTTACGTAAAACTTATCTGTCACAATAAAAGACCTTTTGCATGACCAGTTAATAAAAAAAAAATCTAAAATACTTGATATACACGTGGATTATTTTATTTTTAAATTCCAATACTTAAATGCAAAACGAATTATAACAGAATTGTGCAAAAGAAGATCCTGCACAAGCTATATCTTTTGATGTTGTCTTAATCAAAATCCTTTCCAAAACAGTAAACCTAAAATGCAATTAATATTCTCACTGTTTTAAACTGAAGCTTTGATTAAAAATTTCAACTAAATTTCATGTCATTTACTTTATATTTCTTAAAATAAATCTCATTAAGTTTACCAAGGGTAATGATTATTTTATGCAAATAACTGGCGAACGAATCCTAAACTGGTAAAGTATCGTACAGTAGATCTTGATTAAATACGTCATCTCATGAACAATTTGTGAAGGTCAAAATCTTCATTTAATATATGTATGATATACCTGAAGCTTCATATGATAGTATCTAGGTGGTCACAATACCCTGCAACTTCAAACACATAATAAGAATTGCAATCAATTAACAATTACACTGCCTGAAAAGGTTTGTCTTTGAACAAGACATGTTAAAATTAATGAAATAAATAGCTGCAAATAAATTGAAAATATAATACATTTATTTAATTTCTGAACAAACCCGGTCTTGTTTGAGTAATATTATGAATGTGAAACACTGTAACTTCCCAAACATTTAATAATCCGCTGTACCACTTAACATTCACAAAATGTTAAATACATTTGTTCTATATGTATGCAGCACATGCAAGTTAATTTGCTGCTGGTAACATGCAACAATCAACACAAGTATTGTATTTATATTTCAAAGCTCTGTTAGTTGCTGGTGTGTGTTATAAGTATGCTATTGTTTGTATGATGTTTGATATCAACTTAAAATCAAATTGATCAAGTGACACTCAAGACTGACCATGAAACAATATCTTCCTATGTGATCATGTGACCATCGAGGATAATTTTGTGACATGTTACTATAAAACTGATTATGTGTCAATGACTAATCATAAGTTGGTGATGTTTTCAGAATATGAAAAAATAAAAATGTCTGTGTGCCTTTTTCAAATATTTCACCTGTCATGCAGTCTTTACGACAACTCTCAAGAGACAGTGACAGTAAATGATTGTGTGAACAAGCAGGTGGGTGTACCTGATTAATTGAGTGTTATGGACTGACCCAATGTTGGTGAGGGTCATCGGTTGGTCCAACTTTGTTTCCTGGTATGGTGTGGAATGGTCAAGAATGGTCACAGTCTGGTTAGGCCTGTCAACACACATACACAAACACACACAGTGTACAACAGGTTATATTCATTGGGCCAAATGAAACCTTAAATTATTTCACACAACTTTTTCATTTTTCAAAAGTACTCTGATAATTTTTTTAAATTCAAAATATTTTTGATAATAACTGACAAATTTTAATCATTAAAAACTGACATACCAGTGTGTACAGTTTTGTACAAAATGGTACACAATTACCTTAAAAGTATGTCTGACAAATATAGAACTATTTTTTGTTCTATCAAATTCACTTACACCTTTTGCCATAGAAAAAAGGGTTCATTTGACCAACATTAATAAATGCATGCAAGATTAGTTAAACATGCGACAACACAGTAGATTGGGTTAGAATATACAAATAGTCATTACAAAGATCAACACTAAGGAAAGGATCTTAATGGTTGGACTTGCAATAATATTGGCTTTATAATTCCTTCAGGATTTTTGGGTTGTCAAAGAGCTAACTGTTCAACCCTGGAGCTAATTGATTTTTGACAAGCCTTAGTATGAGCTGTGAAGAAATTTCAGGGATAAATCAAGCTAGTGAAAATTGATACTGGCAGTGGTTAAGACAGGAAATGATTTAATCTTCAATAAGGCATTACACTAAATATGTTTCGAGAAATTTACTTCATAGAAGTGAATAATTCTATGGCCCTCCTGGAGCATAAACAGCAGGAGGGAGATAACCAAGCATGCACTGGCACCAAGGCTACCATTCATGATGCACCAGAAATGATGAACAGTCAATGTGACATTGTTACATCTTTAATGGAAGTTTCCATGGAGAATGCACAACAATGTTGCACATAACACAGCAGTTATGGTCGGTCATTGAAAATAAGTGTTCTAATAACAAACGGTTACATATAACAATAAAGGGAGAGCAATAACTATTTCAGTACAATTTACATGTTTATGTTATACTGAGTTCACGATGTTTTCTTTATCATTGTCCACAATAAACCATCCTGGTCCATCAAAATGAAATTTACAACAACAATAAAAAAGAACAAAATTCTTTTTCTCAAGGAATATTCATAAACGCTTTTTATTTCCTCAAAAGTCTATTAGCAGTCAACTTTATTATTACTCTTTTAGAGTTTTCTCAACAGTAAAGGGTTGGTTTATTATATTCTTACTCCTGCAGTACCTTTGTGGGAAGGAAAAACTCAACATGAAACATTAAATATCAAATTAAATTGGATAAAGCTTATGTGGAGGAAGTGTAAAGGATGACATCAACTGTTATCAGTATATTTACTGCCAGCTCTCAACAAAAAGCTACAGAAGCAATGAAAGGGTAAGGTCAATGTCGTCTATGTCTGGTTCAACAGATGATGTAAGGAACTGTCTAGTAAGAGATGAGACAAATATTGTAAAAAGAGACGACATTCCAAATTTGGACAGATTACAATTATTTACAGGTCGCAGTCATCTCTTTTTCGTGAGGATATTGAAGTCCGAGTTTGAAAAAATCATAAGGGTCACAAAGTTTGTGTCTATTGTCAGATCCAAGTTAAATGATAGTTCTGTACAGTAATGCAGATTAGAGGAAAATGCACCAAGTGGGAATGGATGATAGTGTTTATCAGGAAATCTCAATCAATCAGACGTGCTGAGCTAAAACCAACTAAATTTTTATATAAAGCAAAATATGAAATATTTGTGTACAATAGATCTGAAAAACAAAAACCTTGCATGTGAAGCAACAAAATGACAGTAATCTATATGGTAACAACAGGTAAACAATTGCTACTCAATTTATCCACACAAAGAGTAATGCTTCAGTAACTGCATGAAGATGTATGCTAAAATGTGCTGAATCTAATTAAGCATCAATGCTAACGAAAGAACCTTATGGCCTTAGCTAATTTAGAAACAAACTACAAATTTTTCATTCTCATGTGTTATTTAAGAAATCGGCAGAATTTTCCGCATACTTCTGTTTGGGCTTCAACAATTGTGTCTTTTAGGCACTATGTTACATTTTCTTCCCAGCAAAACACTGAAGGCTGTCAAATTAAAAGGTTGTTGAACTGAACGTAAAATGAAGAAAGGTCATGTTGCAACATCTTCTCATCAGGATGTGCTTAATGTTTAAAATTGATATGTGATTAATAACTTTTTACTACTATACACAAAATTACTATATACAGAATCTAGGAATCTAGCTCATAGATCTCAACATCTTTACATATGTGTAAATCTTGGTTTAAGCATGCATTAGCAGAGGATATCAAGCAATGCAGGGTATAGAAGGAAAATTCAGGCTGTTGCAGGTTATCATTACATGGTAGATGCAATATAGGAGCATGTCACAGTCAAGGGAGGTAACTATGCAGTGGTTAAGGAGACTAAATTACTGAATGGATCTACACCAACCAAGTCCTTCCCCACCTAATTTACAGAAATATTCTTTCTTTAATTGTAAAGTATCAGTGAGCTATTAAGTGAGAGAGCCATACTTCTACCATATTTAACTAGTATGTCTTTTATTTAAATTTAACCTTTAAGTATGAAAGAGGGTTCTTAAATCTTCAGAAAAATATCTCCAACTTTTCCTGTTGATGATATACAGGTTAATCTTGACAATGGTATAAAGAGCTACTGATATGTTATTCCTAACATCCCAGCTGTTACCTAAAACAGTAACATCCTGGGTCATACTCTTCATATTTGTTTCAATCTCCTCTAAAAGCAAGGTGTCTTGCTATCCACAAAGATGCTTATATAGACTAAGGTCTACCCAATGTCAGTTTAGGTGGCAAAAACGTTTGATTTAAAAGCATTATCAACACACATGCTTTTTAAGTTGTAGCACTATAAGCTTTTGTCCCATTATCTCATTAATAAAACACATTCCTGCTCCCCTTCCAAACTTGAGCCTCATGAATAATCCCTGTTTCCCCTGACTTTAAAATCATTATCCCAATGCTTCCCATATCTCTAGCCGTCACTTTCCCATATGTCTCCTTTATCTATCATGCCCTGATTTTCCCATATGCCCCCTTTGCTTTTAGCCCAACATTCCTATATGCCCCTTTTACCTCTAGCCCAGACTTTGCGATATGTCTCTCTTACCAATATTCATTAACTGTAAAGAACTTGGTTGTGTGTGTAAGCCCCAGTCAGTATCTATAGCAGGCAGTGTAGACTCTTGTCAGGATAGTATTGCCTGTAATTACTGGATGGCGGCATCTTTTTACCTTTCATTGTCAAAATGGACAGATATATTGGTAGACGTCTTGACGGAGTCTGATTCCGGAGTCATACAAACTTCACCGTTGACATGTCTCCCTTCGGGACTGAGCAAAAACAATAACTTTTACTTAAACCTTCATTATTCTAATAGTTATTCTCCTTGTTTGATGAGTGATAAATACGGATTGTTGATATTTCTTACATTCGATCAATCATTGCTGTTCCGATTAGCTCTGTCTTCCAACATCTTCATGTTGAGCTGTTCTGTAACTTCATACCCTTTCTCTTTTCTACTCTCGGTAAACATGCTCTTAGCACATTTTATAAACCTACCTCTGTGGGGGAGTCGGATACTCTTAAGTCCCCATGGTATCATAACGGATGACTCACACTGATGAAAACGTTTAACACCTGCCTTTGATGAATTGATATCATGTAAGTTCTGAGAAACAATCCAATTATTGCATGTTCACTTCCTTGTGGTCCAATAACCAATAATGGTTATCAAATATTCAAGGTAATTTTATTACGCATGGTCTTAAGGTCAAAAGGTTGTACAGAACAGCAATGATGGTCAAAATATAAAAACAATGGAGCTAAAAAAAGCCTTATCCAAACATTATTGGAACCTAATGCAGCAATGCAGCACAAACAACTTGATATTTAAGGTAGTTAACAGTAGGTTGAGTCTTAAATATGAAGACAGTCAATATTAGAATAAAACAAAAAGAGAGAGAAAGGAAACATCATGCCAACAAACAGATTTCAATGTAATGCAAAATAGTTGAGATTGGTATTAGGCAATATTTTAATTAAGAATTATAATCATTAACTTATTTATGACTCTGTAAACTATTCATAGCAGAAGGTCAACTTTACATCGATAAAACAATGAAGGACAACCTTATCTTAGTAAATAAATAAAGGTCAACCTTATCTTAGTAAAGAAATAAAGGTCAACCTTATCTTAGTAAATAAATAAAGGTCAACCTTATCTAAGTAAATAAATAAAGGTCAACCTTATCTTAGCAAATAAATAAAGGTCAACATTATCTTAGCAAATAACTAAGGTCAACCTTGTCTTAGCAAATAACTAAAGGTCAACCTTATCTTAGCAAATAACTAAAGGTCAACCTTATCTTAGCAAATAACTAAAGGTCAATCTTATCTCAGTAATAATTACAGGCCAACCTTATCTTATCTTGGTCAATAGTGAAGGCCAATCTTACCCTTGGTAAAAAATAAACAAATGTTCACTCTACCTTGGTAAGTAATTGAAGGCTGACCTCACCTTGGTAAATAACTTAACTTCTTAACGCATACTAACACTTTTTATTGGCACGAGGATGTTGGAAGTATTTGACTTACTGTACAGATATATATCAACATCTACCTTGTTTCCTCAGAGACTAAGTTACAGCACTATACTGATAACAGTATTAACAAGTAAAAGCAGGCATCCAATGGCCCTCAATGAAAGAGCATACTGTGCACAAATTTGGCAAAGGCTTTCAGTCATTTCTGAATAAAGCCTGAAAGACAAAACATCAGCTTTTATTGTCTAGCATTGCCTGTCTATGTCAACTGGTAGAATGTATGATGGATATATGTCCAGAAATCTCTGGAGCCGTCTGAAACCCTTAGTTTTATTGGATATTATTCCAACACATCAGCAGTTTAAAGTATTCTGTAAACATCTCCTGGCCTCTAATACAATATGTCAAGCTCACACTAGGGTTCTGATGAGGCCCAAGTGTTATCTTTTGTAACAACCAAAGTATTACAAAAGGCAGTACTTAAACTTGACACCATATATAGGTCACTGTGACCTTTGAAAACAAGTTTTAGTTTACACTATCTCTATCACATGATAATGATTGCAATGTCATTGCATCAGAGGAGCTGGTCTGAGTTGCATTTTCTGATAATAGCACCAAATAGCCCAGGAGATAAGTCAATCTTTAAAGTGTATGAAGATTTCATGTGATTAAATAAAACCTGCAAATTAGTGTGAAGACTTGGAGAACATTTCAGTTTTACATGTGCATTAAGATATCTGTTGATAAGGTTTCTCCCTCTCTATCAAGATCGGCATATCTCAAGGCAGTGAGCCCTAAAACACGAAACTGAGCAAATTCACACCAAAGAAAAGACTGTTTGAAAATGTTGGTGAAAATTATATTTGAAAAGTTTGTGAGTGTTGAGATCAGACTGCCAGGATCTGTTCCTTGTGATGTTTATTTGAAGTCCTTCTTTACTGTTACAGGCCTTATTTATCAATTCCCTTGACAATGTCAATCTTTTCTGTAACAACTCTTTGAACATGATGGTAGTATCACTCCCATCATTACTACTGGAGCAGTTCTGTGTTGCTCTAAGATTGGTGTCGGGTTACGAAGTAATGAGATATTGCCTGGAATCAATAGAGATCACCGTTCCCAAAACAGCACTTCTGATGGCTGTTCTAATTTCTGCCCTCCCAATCACTGATTGGATTGCTGGAGGCTGTCTGGTCACTGAATCTCCTAATGCGTGTAAGACTGGCATCCAAAGGCCAATCTTACAGGCAAAGACAAGTTAACAGTCAGCTATTGTCATATTGCTACACCTATTTAACAGATGGGAGGTCCTCAATAGGACATTAAATGGTCGTGAAGCTTACTCAATTACAGCAAGAACAGAAATTGGCATCCCTTTTACCAGAAACTATTGGGGAAAATATGGTACTGGTTGCAAAAACCAAAGTCTTAACAAAAGGCAAAATCAGAAATATTTTGTGTTGCAAATTGGAAAAATTTAATACCAAAAAAATTGTGTGTGACTATTCCAACTGATTCAGTTGTATTTATCATTAGCAGCAGTGTCCAACAGTTTTTGCAGAATGATATGTTCTAAAATGACAATTTAAAGCCTTGTCTAAATTGTCAATTATATTTAACAAGCTGTGGTTAAGAGGATAGATGTGGTTTAAGAAAAAACAAGGATATTAAAACCTCTTGTAGTTACCAATAAGTAATGAGCTTTCCGTCGTTGTAATAAGAAGTAAGGTATTAATTGATGTAAGTTGCAGGTGTGAACCTGTATTTGGCAAGGCTGACTGCTAATTAATGTGCATTATGTGTTGTTAGTGGGAAGAAGATGGGGTGTTTAGTACAGTATAATGATGGATTCTAAAAAAATATGAAAGCATCATCAGGCATCCGGAGTAATTTTATTTCCTTTAGAAATGAACAAGATCATTATTCACAACGGCAGTAAAGATACACTGGCAATATCTAGACTTCCAAAAGCTATTCAAGAATAATTCTAATAAAAACGAAATTAATTCACTTTGATATATAATTGGCTATAATTTACAATATAATGAAAGTGGTATTTTACATAACAATTTATCCTGTAACAATTAAGGACCACATCTGCTACATTTTTAGCTGTGGCCACCCTGTTCCTATATACATTAAACAATGATACGGCAGCTGGGAAAAATGTTTCTATGACTGTATGATTAGAAACAAAGGGAGAGTGTTAAGTAAAATTTAATTACCCATGTTTCCTACAGGACCAGACGAAAACAAATTGTTGACTTCACAGCTTTTTTTACACAACCACAATCAAAGGCAGATAATTGGAAAGGTAAAGTATCAGCCACTTTTGTCAAATAAACAATTTTTATTAAGGGACCAGAAATAAAGGGAGATAACATGGTAAAAACTGATGACTTCTTCAGGACCAGAAACAACAGAGACTAAGGTATATTTTTTAATTGCATAAATTCCCTCTTGAAACAAGACAAAAGCAGCATTTCTATGGTAACAACAGGAAAAAACATGGTAACTTTTATTCAACATAACCCTAAAACAGCAGGAATAATGACCAGACTGTACTGTAGGCAACACAAAGTAACATTTGTCTCTGAGGCAACAAAGGGACAACACCAGGTATAATTTGTAATAAAACTCTAGACAAAATTTGACTTTGTGGTAAAAAAAAAGTAACAGCAAGCACCTGATAGACACATTGTGTCCTTATACAAAATACTTATATTGGAATCTGTTCAACATGCTTTATCAGGATCTGCAGAGCCATTATGAAAAATTATAGTAATAATAGTTCTTCACGGAATAAATGGGTACTGTACAATATAATATTGCAGTCACCAAACATTGAATCATTATATAAATCTTTACAGGGCTTACCAAATGTCTACATTTGATAGGGTTGAAGACTGAAGCGGACAATTTGTATATAAATTACACACATTGTTGTTAATATTTCAAGAAAAAAGATCATTATAATAATGTTTAAGAAATGAGATCAATGATATAATCTATCATATAAAGATTAAGCATAGGTAATAAAAAAAGATGTACATGTACATAAATATACACAGAGCAGAACAAATGAACAAGTCTGAGTGGAAATGTGATGAAGTGAACCAAAAACAATGATCAGGAGATATTTTGTTCATAATTTTACGATTGGTGAATGAAAAAAATCATTCTGAGGGATATTTCTTCCAATTAATAGGGTAAGATATGATTGTTTAAAAAATGTCTCAATTGATTTGACTTCCCCCCTCTCCCAAAATTTCGCTTTTGGACAGAACACTGAGTATACATACATATTTCCTGATTGGATGTTCCTTAAATGTAAGTAAATGTCAATAAGAGGTGGAAAGTGCAGATAGGAGGAAGAATCAGAGAATGTGATTCAGTACAACACACAGTGTACCACAATGAACACAGATAGAACTTCACTACAGTTAGCTTTGTGAAGACACTTACCTTTTCTTACCCCTAAAACTACTCAAGCTCACTAAACTGAAAACAAGTGTAAAAGCACTATGTGAGTGAGCATGGCCTTCAGAGCAAGCTGTCATCCCTCTACTCAGTGAGATCTCTCAGTTGATGGGAGACAAGTTCACTTGACAGTGTGTTGGTGATAAGTCCTTGGCCATTACATGCGACTAGCTGACTACTTTTACATGTTGATAAATATCTGATTGTTTGTCAGTTCAAAATGTCCCTAAGTTGAACAAATACATGTTTTCTTCATCCTGCTTGACATTTAGATAAAGCCATTTTTATTCTTTGATCAAAAGGTAAAATTGCTATCAGGATTCAAGAATATTCTTCACATAGAGAACGAAGTAACTTCAAAAGGAGAGAAAAAAAAAGAGAAAACATTAATTTCGAAAGAAATTTCAAATAATAATGATGTAAAAATAGTCAGCCAGTGAAATCTATAAAAGCTGGAGGTTATGGCCCACTCTAATATGTGTATGTACCAGTTGGTATAGTATGTTTGGCATTGTCTGTACAAAATGAACTGTATACTTTACACTTTTTGAAAGTATTGTAGTTATCATGTAATAACCTGTAGCCAACACACAAAATAAAGTGTGACCATTTCTATGTGAATCATTTACAAGCAGACACAAACAGGTGAGATAAGAAAGTCATCCACCTCCCTGCTTTCGCCTCTATTTTGGGCATCGATTTTAACCTTGAATGGAAAAGTATTTTCATATGTTTGGATATTTAAGTCAAGTTCCACAAATAAATTATCCACTTTTTCATATAGTAATGTCTTTTTAACAATCAGTTCTACATAAATTGAAGCATAAGTGCCCAATAATTCAATATTTCTACTTTTATAGACCGTTAATCTAATTCCTCTCTGGCATTGGCAATGCCAAGCAGATATACACCAGTATGTGATTAGAAAACAAGGTCATACACCTTACCCGTTACAAATTGTATTAGATCACTAACATAACTCTAACTCTCTGTGTCAAGAGGTACGTGCCAGATTTTTCACAAAATGTCTAACTTAATTTACAACCTTTTCTGATAAAGAATACCTATTAGTAACACACTGTGCCCCAAAATGCACATGCAATAAAAGTTTGGACTGAATGTAGCTTTCCTGTAACAGTTCAGATGGATGGAATCAACACCAACAGCTTGCAACCTCCTGTAATACCCTATCTGTCATTTAATAGTATGGTGAGTTCTCTCCTTCCTTTACACATGTCACATGTTCATCACTTCTGTACAAATGTTTCCTAAAGTTTTTACTGAACAGTAAACCCTTACTTGCAGTCTAAATCAAGGTCATACTGAATTAAGGATTTATAGCACAATATATATGTAAAAAGAAAAGATTAACATTCTAAATTTTGCCTGAATTCTTATCTTATATATTTAGCTTCTACCATGTGTTTGTGAGTACATACTTCTATGTGAAATTGAATATCCTTCTCCAGGCTACAATATTCATAGGGCTGTTCTGAGAATATATCTTATGTCCAGACACTGACTGCCTGTTCCCTTCAATACTGTCTATCCCCAGTGTCCAGACATCATTCTATCTATAGGAAATGTCTCTCTGACACTTTAATGTTCCAGGCATGTTTGAAAACAATACAAATAAAAGATCACTGAGCCTTTGTTTATGTGTCAGTGTAATGATAGAAGTTCCATGCTCCCCAACTTTGATGAGGTTGTATGGTAATCTACTGTACTTGGTGATCCCCTCTCTCTCTTGCTGCAGCTAGAAAACTTTTTCTTTCAGGCATCGTTTCGTTGATCTATTGAATTAACACAAGCTTTTGTCCATTACCTACCAGCTGAGAATCAGAGAAAGAACATTTACTTTTGCTTTCTAGTCATTACTTAAATAAGAAAATGTTTTTTTCTTTAGAAACGTAATTTCCCAGTCAAACTAATTACAAACAGCATCTGTTAAAGTTTCTGACCTTCATCCAGGTCATGTTACTTGATGTGTTTGCCTATGACTGTTCAAAAAACACAGACAAAGAAATGAAGAGTACATCTCTTTGACCAATGTTTAAAAGTCAAAGAACTTCAGGATGCAATAAAACAAATAGTATATAAAGTATCAAAAGAAATCTTTTGATTAAAGAGAGAAAATGCTGTTAGGTCTTAACCCCATTCAAGAAAAAATATTATTGCTTTTTTATATACTATATGCCTAAATAATATTTTTTTTAGATATTTAAAATAAGCTTTAATGCCTGTCTATACCGGAACACATATATTATGAAACATACAGAAAGAGCTGATAACTGAATTGGAAACCCTGTTTGAGCTGACATTGTATAGTATCAAGTTGAGCCCTGTGGTCAGTATGTCCATCACATATCACCACCAACCACACTGTACCTGTTAATATGGACAGATGCCTGAGGTAGAAAGATCAATTTGATGCCAACAAGACTGTAGACTAATTATTCCGACTATGTATATGCCATTGTACTTATAATTATCAAGATTAGTCACAACAAGACATTGCAGGTCAGTTCAAGGTCAATGTTACATTTGGTCATTTACACTGTGTATTATCATTGATAAGTCAAAGTCACAATGCTGATTGGTTGAAGATAAAAGATGATCAGCTTTGAATTTCTTTACATTAATGTCATTGCTGTGACATAAAGGTCAGCTAGTTCTTTAAGTCAAGGCCACTACAGGGTGATATCTGGTTAGGTAGTTCAGTCAATCAATATTACTGAAGTATCATTTCAAGTAAGCTAGATCAGTCAATCAAGGTCACTGTGGTGTCATTTATGGTCAGCTAATTCTATAAGTCATGGTCACTGCAGTGCCATATCTAGTCAACTAGTTTTATGAGTTAAGGTCACTGTAGAGCCATTTCTAGCCTGCTGGCTCTATACATCAAGGTCACTGTGGTGTCATTTCTGGTCAGCTAGTTCTCTAAGTCAAGGTGACTGTAGTGCCATTTCTAGCCTGCTGGTTTTACAAGTCAAGGTCACTGCAGTGCCATTTCTAGTAGGTTAGTTCTACGAGTCAAGGTCACTATGGTGCTATTTTTGGTCAACTAGTACTATAAGTCCAAGTCACAGTGGTGTCACTTCTTGTCAGCTAGTTTTATGAGTCAAGGTTGCTGCAGTGTCATTTCTTGTCAGTCAGTTCTAGAGTCAAGGTCGCTAGTGTTATGTTTCTTGTCATCTAATTCAAGGTCATGCCAGCATCAAACTGCTCTACAGCAGATCTGATTCAAGACTTTCAGTTATATATCTTGCTTTAAAAGGAAAAATGTTATATTATAACCGAACAACTTTTTCATTATAATCAGGTTTGCATAATGTTCTATAATGGCGTATAATGTTGTGTAACATCTTATGATGTGTCATCTTATCTGATTATTATGTTAGGTTAGTCACGAGAATACATGCAGTATACAGAATATAGCCAAGTGCTACAGGGACAGGGGTCATTTGGTCAATTTCTACATCATCCAGTGATTGGTGAGCAGATCACTACAGATCATCTTCATTACTAACGGCATATCTGATCTGTAATACAGTTGTACAGTTCTGCTAGAGCTAGCTGTCACATCAGGACAGATACTATTGAAGTTCAATAATTTATTTTAGTGAGATGTGTTATGATGAAGTGTATTGGAGGTTTGATGGATGTTCCAAGTAAAAACACTTTCAATCACACCAATATCTCACAGCTCTAGAATACCAAGTTGATATTCTGAAAGCTAATATCGGCTGTGTGATCTTATGTCTAAAGAACTGACACCAATAAATAAATAAAAACTTCTTCAAACATGTTCAATTTTCATCAACTTTTAAAAGGCTTCAAGAATGAAATGTTTAAAATCGCATTTTTTTCATTCATTTTAAAAAGAGCAATTTGTCAAAATCCCCCTTGACCTATTCATGACCAATTTTTCTTTGAACAGACTGTTTATACTTCAAAAACACTTGGAGTGATATATGTAGAGACAACATTGTCACACATCAAAGAATCCAGTGCTACTAAAATCTACAGTAAAGTAAAAAATAGAATATAGAGACAGCAGCAGAAAAGACAATAGGGACAGGGAAGGAAACAGTAACTTCCTTTGGGAAACAGTAATTCTATAAGAACTGTAAAGCCAGTCTTTTGAAATATGCCTGCCTTAGCCTGCTTGCCATACCAAACACTACAAGCTGTATATAGCCTCAAAAGGCACAAAACCAGCACAATACTCATCAATAAAAACATGTCAGTTGGTTTTCTTCATGAAAAGCTTTATATGAGGTGCAAATGTACTGAATTTATCAAAGGACCGAAATAAAAATGACGATATCTACATACACATTCTGCATAAACGGAAGCTGTATCAGGATCTATAATATGAATTTATCACAGTTATAGAGATAGTTTAATTTAGCTAATAAGTTTTTTTTTATTAATTTTGACTCTGAGTATCATGTAAAATATTTTGTTCATTGAATATTGTATGCATAATGGAAAGATATATCAATTCTGAAGTTCTTATATTAACCAAGTGTTTACCATTCACTGTACAAAGAGTTATGTCCCCTTGTTTCAATCAAGCCAATCTGTAAGAGTTAGTAAAAGTTAGTAGAGGTATATACCTGAGACGCTGCTGTCTCTCTGCCTCCAGGACGTGTAGTTCTTTGCCAGGGATGGCGTGACCCGTTAGGGATCCCTTTCTCGCCTGGTGGGTCATGATCCTGACATTCTGTAACAAATGGTCAGTTACAAAATAAAACTCCATTTTACATTTAAACAAACAAAATGACATTGATACCCAACAAATATTAAAAACAAGTCATTTTCATTTTGAAATATTGAGCTTTGTCCAAGAGTTTGCAAACATTTTAAGTCTTTGTAAGTGTGGGTTGGATTTCAATAATTAGGGAAACTGTGTTTGTCTTCCTTCATCTAACTAAGTCTGTTATCTCCACCAATCTTGTATTTATACTGTGTGTACCAGACTGGATCAAGGAATAAAGAATACAATACAAAAGTACTAGTAGGTAATGATTGTTTTAAATCTAGAGCAGATTCCATGATAAAATAAACAGCAATGAGGGTTTTTTTCTCTATTTAACACTATCATAGCTGTAAACTAGCTTGGTGCCAACAGATAGGGTTTTGGCGCATAAAAATGTCAAGGTTTTGACTTGCAGGTTCTGAAAGTTGAAAAGTGCAAAGCAAGTTGTTATTCTGAAACTGAGATTTAACCTAACATTTGGATGTTTTACAATGCATGGCCCCCTTTAAGCCTCTTTATGTAGAAATAAAAAAAAAAACAAAAAAACATCCATATAAAAAGCTGCCAACAAACTTCAAACCAACAATGTATACTGTGATACAGCGTTCCTCAATAATGAAGTTTGGGTGTAAGTGATACAACACTTAATTTCCTAAGTATGTTTATCTTCACTTAAATATTTGTAAATCTTCCCAAGGTTAATAGTTACCTCAACTCCGATAAATCTAAACAATGAAGATGATTTCAGTAGTCAGCAATTGACCTTGGCCGACTCAGAAAGTTATCTTACCCTTGTAACAGCTTATCTCCATTGTGATCATCATAACAATATGTTCAGGAAGATATGACCTTACCAACAGAAAATGTTGACATCAAACTTCCATGATGCCATTAGAAAATATCATACATAGATTTATTTTCCATGAAAAAGTATTTTGACATTAGATACACTACAGATACAATGTATACACAGTATTGAGGTATTGACGTCATCAGCCTGATTTGATTATCTCAGGTTTCTATAAGTTAAGTAGCAGGTGAAAGGAATTGTATCAAAAATAGGCAGTTTGTATGTTAATTTCAGTGGCCCATGGCCTCTATACCGTAAATGTATCACCAAGGTTGTGAGAGCATACAAGCTCCTGTTTCTCTTTAGGATAAAAAACAGAAACTGTGATGAACAAGGCCTATAAAAAAATATTTTATTGCATATGTTTGTGGTATCAATGTAAGGTTATTGGTCTGTATAACTCTTTATTATAAAGCAATAGAATTATTTATTAATGTCTTTAATCTTCATAATAAAAGTTGCCTTGCTGAAACTCAAGCTTGAGATGTTTTTTCCTGAATATGAGAGCTCTAATACACAAGCTTGCTATCCTGTTTTCTGTAGCTGAGGGTTTCAATGAAGGTCTTCCAATTTTCTCCTTGTTAATTTGATTGATTTACATCTTAAAAGAGTTGAAATATTTTCTGAACTCTGACTTTGTAAATATTCTGAGCTTCTACTTTACATATTCATACTTACTCTGGTTCTATTTTCCTTCAAAAATAATATTTTCTTTCTAAATATTTCATTCCAACTTCTTGATTCTACAAACTTTAGAGACAAGTCATTCATTCTGACTGTTTATTTTCTCCACTTAACAAAAGTACTATTCCTGATTTGAAAATTTGAGAAAGGAAAGAATATTTTCCATTTCAAAAGAAGTTATCAAATTAAAGATGACATTATGACCAATTATAACAAAAGATGACATTATGACCAACAATAACCAAATATATGACATTATGACCAACAATAACCAAATATATGACATTATGACCAACAATAACCAAATATATGACATTATGACCAACAATAACCAAATATATGACATTATGACCAACAATAACCAAATATATGACATTATGACCAACAATAACCAAATATATGACATTATGACCAACAATAACCAAATATATGACATTATGACCAATTATAACAAAAGATGACATTAAGACCAATTATAACAAAAGATGACATTATGACTGTAACCAGAGCATTTATTATTTTATGATTATGTAGTTGAGAGTGACAGTCAATTAAGACATTTAAAAAGTTTAGAAGAGCTTTAACACTGTTTGGAAAATGACACATTGTACAGCTTGTACCTCAGCATTAGACCACTTAGAATCAACCTTTACACACACTCTTACTTCTAGAAAACTTATCCAAAAGGTTTAGTAATTTTGTATTGTTAAAAACTGTCATCTTCTGGAAATAAATATGTACCTGATGATAAGCCCATTCATGTGTTTTTGCTGTTAAAAAGATTCACCAACAAATGTTAATTAATTGTCTTGTGATAAGTCCAGTCTCTGATTTTAGAGCCAGAGATAATGAATTGGCTACTAATGCAGATATGTCATATGACAATTTCCTGAGAAATGGAAATAAATATCTGTTAAAATGGAGAAAGGTATTCTGTAACAAAATAGAGTTGGCATACCAGTATGGCTGGCCAACATACTATCAATATTAGACTATCAAAGTACATGTTTCAAGTGCTATCTTGCTGAAATGTTACAATCTGTAAAAATGATCTCACCAAAGGGAGGTAACTGTACTTGTATGTAGGCACAGTAGAATACTCTATTTAAAAATTGATTGCAAACAGCATCAATTTTTAAAAAGAAAGAGCTCTGCACACGTCAATGGCATTTATAAATAGATCAGTTAGTGCTAGTGGGACTCCACAGCCAGTCAAACAAAGTATGGAAATAGTAATATACTTATGTCATGCATAATTAATTAGTAAATCTGCAATGCACTCAATGCTACTGTAGACATAAAAGACGATTTTCTCATTTCTAAAGCAAGAAAGATTGCCAATTTATTGTTTAAAAATTTCCATTCAGTGATTGGTAACTCCTGTAGCCCATACAACTGTTGCACTAATGTTGGGGTGAGCTTGGAGTAAGAAACAGGATACAGGGTGGTAAAGGGACTGTGAGAGGTACAACTGTTTACCTATTTATATAGCAATTCTCTGCTCCTAATACCCAGGTATCTTAAAGGTGGACTCAAGCTTCAGGCATATTCCTTGTAATTATTTCAGCTTGAAACACTTTCCAGATTTTGTGAAATTAGTTAAAGAGAGTTACAGATGCACCAGGCCTCTAGGGACATGGTGGGATTACATAGTACTAAGGATATATATTGCACAATCTTCATGGTTATATATATATATATATACCTTGCAAATCAACAAAGCAAGGAATCATTTCTTGGACACGATCCGACACCTTTACACTGCGTCAGCGAATAACTTCAACAGCAAACATCTAGTAAATCAATAAATTCTAAATCCTGGTAATCTTTGATAATGAATAAACTCACATTTGTAAAAAATGTTTGAAAAATAGGAATGTTGTATGTTGTCGTCATCAATGAAATTTTTCACCATGCTAATCGATAAGGATGTTTATGCTATAGCAGTCTGGTTAATGCTTAGTAATGACACCAGGTAGGCCTAAGCAACAATATATCAAACTATTGTTATTCAATTCACATAGTGTAACCCTGTTGGAGCCTTTAATTAAAGTTTTTCTACAACTACAAATAATAAATTTGCTAGAAAAAATATTTTTATGTAGTGTGTTTCGCTATCTAAAGCTCTGCAGACCTTCTACTTTCAGATGTTTGTCTCCAAAACTTATTGAAGCATTCATGAGATTTCATCAATTATTTAGTCCCTGACTTAATTATGTAATTTGTTGCTGGCAGAAATTCTCATCTAGAATCAGAAAATTTTGTCTGGATGAGGGAAAGGTTATATGATTTATAAAATAACTTTAAAAAACACATTCTATCATGGGAGGAATGAATACAGTTATTTCTACAGACAAATCACACAAATTATATGTATTTACATGAAGGCAATTTAAATTAAAATGTGCTGGTTGGCATTTCTCCCTTGTGTAGATATATATGTAGATTCTTAATTCAGATATTTGACAATCTATTCCTTGTTGCAATTTAAAAAGCAGTATTTACAATAGAGTATAAAATCAAGTCATTGAAATTTAAAGTTTAATGTCACTATGACACGTCACACTTACTAAAGAGCTTCATATACAGTAACTGATGCTTAACAAATGCTAATTTGGATTTCACTGTCATTGAATTAAGCCGATTGTAAATTTCAAAGTGATTATTGGAATGTATAAATTATAAGGCTTTATCTAAGCGAATTATAATTTTGTAATAACAGCAAATTCAGATACAAATCATGTGTTTACCCCAGCCAACAAAAATCTGGTATTTTTTAAATTATTCTTAAAATTGACAAATAGATTCACTCTTTCAACTTAAAAAAAAATTGTGCAGCAGGGATGCTTGTTTGAAGCCAGTGAATGCTTAGTCAACAATAGCTTGCCTTCAGGTACATATACAAAGAGATGTAGTAGCTTGTTATTTTTCATTTTCATAAGTTGAAAGCATGTCCTGCAATAAGCTTAAATTCATGTGAAACAAGATACTTCATATATAACAGTTTGGCTTCTTCAGTGTTTGGTAACTGACTTTGAATTCCTAACTTTTTCGTTATTACTCTTACCTTTCTTGTTTCTGAGAATTGACTTCTGACTTATCACTGTATATATGTACAAAAAATTAACAACATAAATTCAAATTAGTTGTTTTGATATCAGTAATGAACAATTATGATGTGGTAACTCAGTTTGTACAGGCACCAGTATTTCCCGTGTCATATTAAGAGGTTTGTGTTGAATTTCATTAGTATTATTTTGAATCTTGCTTGATAATTGAATCAGTGCCTCTATCATAGGAGCCAGCATACTTTGAAGCATCAGTCTCAAAAATTACATCAATGATTGCTAAATCCAAATGGGGTCTTCTTTCAAGCAAGTGAAACACAAACTTAAATAAGGAATCTATTGTATTGTAAGTCTATCATCAT